GCTGAACTGGGCTGCAATGTGAAGCTGTCCCTGGAGAGCTAGGAAGGGCTGATGTAAGTGTCAGGGAAGTTTGGAGACAGCCTGATCAGACCACAGGTTTATCCATCAACCTCATTTCTCATGTTAAGAGCTTGGTGGAATTGCCTGGAACAAAATATCTGTGCTTGGCTGGAAAAATGGGTTATTCTGTATTTTACCTGCAGCTCAGTTCCCAAATGAACTCTCAGTGCTTAATTCTCATTTTCTATGTGCCTGGTTAGGTGTGTATTTTATTACAGCTACAGATAGCACTGTAAACATACAGAATGCCTCATCAGGGTGGAATAGGATATGTACAGCCCCCATCTCATAAGGCTTAGCATATATTAATGAAGAAGATGCTAAATTATTCCCGTCCGACCCATTAAGACAGCCTTATAGAAAATATATATTGGTGCAGTCAGAGAGGAGAATTAGTGCATGAAACACAACCTCATTGGCAGCAAGACCAGCCCAGTAAATCAGTTACATTTTTGGCTGCCATTAGAGCTTGGAGGGGACCTTGTAGTCTCTCACCTCTGGCAGTTGTGCACCTCCTCCCTCTCATATGCCCAGGGCTTGGGAGAGGAATGAGGAACATGTTCACACTCAGAAACAAATCTGATTTCAGAAGACAGCAATCCTGTCCAGGAAATAAAGATAAGAATTCTCTGGGCAATCTGTATTTTTGTAAGAGCTGACCAGCAGGTTTCCGGTGCATGGCTTGTTTCACCTTAGCTGTAGAAAAAAGTGCTTCACCCACAGTAGGACTTTGCAGCATGACTATCACTGAGGCAAGAGCTTTGTAGATCCAAAATTAAAGGAATTTCCTTATGCATCTAACAGTGGGAACACTGGGTTGGACTGGGTTGGGCCCAATGCAGTTTGAACAGCAGGATGCTCAAAGGTGGATCGTTACCAAATTCATCTTTTACTTGTCATTTTAGGCAGCTTTAGGGGTTGGGTAGCAGAGAGAAAGGGCCTCCAGATGGACAAACAGACATCCTTATGCTAAAGTCTCTTGAAATCAATGGTTTAGCTGCAATCCAGATGACTAAAGAATAACTTTTACAGCTGCTGGGTCTGATTCCAGCATACCAGAAGCCATAAAATCTCCCCTAGCAGATCCCTGGGGCAGCCTTGCAGATCCCTGGGGCAGCCCCACATCTCCCAGATGGGGACCTTCCAGCTCCTTATGGAGCCCCCTTCACCTAGGGACAATTTCCACGAGTAAAGCCAATCATGTCCACATGCTAGATGGAGGTTTCTGGAGACATGACTCTTACAGAGGGAAGATGCTGCCAACACCAGGCATTGGAGACAGTTGGGACCAGGCTCCATTCAGAGCATCTTGTAAGGCATGTACCCCTGTGGAAATGGGCAGGCAGGGGTTGATGCTACAGAAGAAATTATCTGTCAGCTGGGCACTGCCAGAGGACACTAAACAACCTTACAATTCATTATCTCTTCCAATTTTGTTTTCATCCCATTTAGTCAGCCTGGGTGGCTGCTGCTTCTATGCCCTATTTCGGAGAGTCCAAAGAGTAAAAAACATGTCTAATCAAAAGCTCTGCCAAGCAGACAGGTTAAGAGGTGCCTCAGCAGCAGCTGGAATGAGGCACTGCAAGACAAACCTTCCCCTTCCCACATTCTGGCCAGCCGTGGCTTGGGGTACAAGGACTTTTTGCATCTTGGTTTCAGCAGCTCTTTCCACTGTGTCTCAGAAAGAATCAGGAATGGGGTCCGTGCTGCCCTGTGACCTTGCCAGCTCTTTGGGACTGGGTTGGTCATTGTGCTCTGTGTCTGACACAATGGGTCAGGGCTATGACACATCATCTTTATATGCTGCCATCAACTCCCATCCACCATAGAGCCACACTTGGGCTTTTCTTATTTGACACAGGCCATGGATGGAGCAGGATGGGGCAGCCCCTTCTGCAGACATTGCTGCTTGGTGCCAGCTCTGCAGGGAGTTCAGGGTAACACCCCTGGCCTTGAGAAGTCACTTCACCGATTAAATTTAGGTGGTTTTGCTCATCCTGTCAATATTTGTGCCTGCAGCAGCTGGGAGACAGTGGGGTAGCAGCCTTGGAAAGCTCAGCTCATCTGTTTATCTGCTGGGCGGGATGGCTGCAGGATGACATCTGCATGCCATTCCCATGCAGATCACTTCCTCGCCCTGGAAGGTTGCGCTGCTGCACCAGGGAGGCACAGCCCTTGCTGTGGGGCCACGCACAGCCCCCAGCTGGGCAGGCACTGAGCCCAGGATGAGACCCACCAGTTTCACAAAGGGTCAAACCCAGGCAGAGACCTTGAGGGAGCCAGGAAAGGGGAGGTCATTTCCAGCACCACCCAAACGTCACACAAGTGCTGCTCCACTGGTGCCGTGTTTGGCACAGAGGCGCCCACCTCAGCTGCTCCCTCGGTGTTCCCCAGCTCCAGGTGTCTCCTCTGACTGTCACAGGTTGCAGATGGGTCTGTCCAGCTCCGCATCATTCCCTCTGGCAAGCTCATGCTGAATTAAAGACAGCCAGAAAGCCTCCTTTTCTTCTCATTTGTCCCTCTTCCCAGTTCCTTGCTTGCCTCTGTTTAGTTGTTCTTATATCTCTTCTTCAGATTTTGAACAGCCATTTATCAACAAGCCAGAGACCCTCCTCATCAGCAAGAAGGAGCACACTTGGATACCATGCCTTGTGTCCATCCCAGACCTTAACATCACCCTGGTCTCGGTGAGAGCTCAGCCAGTGGGAGACTCTGGGCTGAGATATATTGCATTTGTTGTGTATTTGTAATTGCCTGAGCGGAAGTGGAACAGGCACTGCCAGGAATGGAAAACGCATGGGATACATTTTCCATGGAAAGTACAAGCCACTGGCTTCCTCGTTTTATTTGCTGGTTGAAGCTGTGCTGTCCAGTTCCCTTGGGCAGACCCCACGGGTTTCCGGCCTACCTTTCTTCTCTTCCCTAGACCTCTATGAAACAAAACAGGACTTTGTTTTAAGTCTATTTCCCCACACTACCCCTTCTTTGCTTTGGTGTCTGTGATCTACAAACCCTGTAGGTGGTCACCATCCTTACAAGGGAGGAGGCTGCAGCACTAGGGCTGATGGCTAAAAACAACTCTGTTATCAGTTTGCTTGTGCCTTTTTTTGCCTTTTTTTTTTTTTTACAATGCAAATACATCCTTCCAGGATGAGTGTTACTATTGTACAAAGGCCTCCAGGGACACCCTGGGGGCCAGGGGCCTTTCCCTTGGCCGGGCAGGACACTACCCAAGGTCAGCACTCATCCCGGAGGGGCTGATGTTTGGGACATCAGCATCAGTTTCCTTAGCTATCACTCTGAGTTTCCATTCCTGGAAGTCTCTGGCCCACTCTGCAAATGGGGAGGCTCATGGTGCAGGATATGGCTGCTCCAGTCCTCAGTGTGCAAGGGAGGCTGTGATTCCTAGATGACAAACCCTGGAGGGGAGGGGACAGGAGGCCAGCACAGCATGATGCTGCATCATTTCTTCCCACAAAAGGGATGCGTTAGCCAGTGTGAAGCCTGGAAAGGGTGGGCTAGGAATGTTGTTGTTACCTTCTTATTTCAGTTTGCAAAATATTGATTATTTTCTTTTTTACAGCAAGCTTCCAACATCCAGCCTGATGGGAAAACCACTTTCTGGGACAACAAGAAGGGGATACAGGTACCCACACACTTGATCAGGGACTCCTTGTTTGTCCAGTGTGAGACTGTCATTGACCAGAAGGTCTTCAAATCCAATTTCTTCATCATCCATATAGCAGGTGAATATTTGGGAAGGTGCAGGGGGGGGGCAGTTTCGATGACTCTGAAGCCCAGTAGTGTGGCTCGTGGGGTTGTTAAGGTCCACTCTAGCCACATAGGCTGCATGATGCTTAGATCTCTTCTGCTGTGTGCCAGACACAGACACACCAAGCAGCAGGAGGTCATACCCAAGCCTCCTGTAACTGCATAGTCTGAATCAAAGAGTTAATGGATCAGAAATGTGTTTTTGGTGACTCTTCTACATCAGGGATCGAGCTGTATGACATCCAGCTGTACCCCAAGAAAGCCATGGAGCTGCTCGTGGGAGAGAAGCTGGTCTTGAACTGCACAGTGTGGGCCGAGTTCAACTCTGGTGTGCACTTCGAGTGGACTTACCCTGGCAAACAGGTACCTGCAAACAGAGCAGCTCTTCATCCACTGAACCACTTCCCTCTGAGTTGTCCCCTCTTGTCCCTTCATTGTTCCCTTCACATCCCTGGCAGGGCTCTAACCATGATCCTAACCATGCTGTGCCCTGGACATCTTCATCAGAGTGCTTTCCCATTTTTCTCTCCTGTAACAGAAGGCAGAGGGAAGACCCCTTTTCCTGGCAGAAACCACTCTCCTTACCAAGGTGTTACTGCTCTGGGGCTCTCCTGAGCAAACACTGGCTTCAGTTTCACTAGTACAAATCCAGAGCAAACATCCTTGGCTTCAAAGGAGTTTTTCTATCCCCACAACCCAGGTTACCAAGAGCCTGTTAGGGGATCCCTTCCCTGATGTGTGTTCACCTCGTTGTAACCTGTAGGGCTCCCAGCCTGGTTACTGGGCTGCAGATCAGAGCAAAACGTGCAAACCTCTGACACAGCCTCAGGGGAGCTTCTCTCCCTGAGGACAGCAGTCAGTTGCCTGTCTGGGGAGAGGTGAGCACTGGGCAGCAAGAAGCACAGATGTGAGGAGCCCACCTACCCAGCCCGTTGATGACTTTCATCCCCTTCTCTCTGTCCTTTCCCACAAACCCAGCGGGCAGTGATAGAGTCCGAGCGCCAGTCCCTGCAGACACAGACAGAGCTCTCCAGCATCCTGACCCTCCACAACGTCAGCCAGCAGGACCTGGGCAGGTACACGTGCACTGCCAGCAACGGGGCCCAGATGCTAGAGGAGAGCACCGATGTCATCGTGCATGGTACGGCACCTTCTGCTCCCTGGCAGAGCCCCAGCCAGAGCCAAGCTGCAAGCAGAGCAGTCCTCAGACTGCTAGGGCAGCACTTGGTCCAAAGCTCAGCAGAGGGGCTCCTGCACCTCCATCCCACTCTGCTTTAGTCAGACCCATTCTTCCTCTAGTCTCTCAGCCCTTCTGTGCCCCACCACCACACTGGGTGCACGATCACACTCAGTGAGGTGCCAAGATGACAATAGAGAGAGATGCAAACACTAAATTGGCCTAAAAGCCAGAGGGATGTCAGGACACAGAGGTCTCATGGTCCTGCAGCAGATGCAGTGCTGCTGTGGCACAGATGGCCTGCAAGGCACCCAGCTGTGGGTGCACAAGGCTCTGTCAGCACTGGGTAGGTGTCTCCTGGCAGCAGATCAGGGGGCAGTGCAGCCTCCCTGTAGCCCCCACGGCTCCCAGGGGCAAGGCAGAAGCAGCTCTTCAGCTGCCAGAGTTGCAATGCTGTGCTGGCCTGCCTGGCACTCACTCCCTTCTGCCCCAGGAAGGGGACCCTGCTGGAAACAGAGATATTGAAGAGGGGCTGGGAGTTGTATGGGCAGATGGGACAGTAGTGGGGTTTGGTTATTTTTACTTCATCATTTCAGAGAAGTAGTCGTTTTCAGCTGCACTTGCCACAAAACCCCACCTATCCTTGGTCCTTGCTGTATGACCCTGTGGAGAGCAGCAGAGCCTGGTGACAGCCTGTCCATTTGTGCTCTCATCTCCTCCATGCTCACCTTTTTTCTTACAGAAAAGCCCTTCATCAACGTGGAGTGGAGGAAGGGCCCAGTGATAGAAGCCACTGCAGGCGATGAAGTTGTGAAGCTGCCGGTGAAAGTTGTGGCTTACCCCCCACCAGACTTCCAGTGGTAACGCACCTTTCTTAGCCTGAGCTACCTTCTCCTCCTTTCCTCTGCCAAATAGGGAAGCCTAGCCTAGCCTCTTTGCTAGGTCCCTCTGTGTCCAGGATTGTCCCAAATGTCTTTTTTTTCTACCTATGGGGGTCTTTTCTCCCACCTTCCCTGGGTCTCAGCTTGGGTTGGGAGGGGGTGAGGTCTGGTGGAGAAGCAGCAAAGGTCCTGACCTGGCTTGACAGCTCTGCACTGTCTGGAGGGGCCAAGTGGAGCTCCCGTAGGAGCTGCCCCTCTTAACCCCCTGCAGTGGGGATCTCAGAGGAGCAGGCCATTGGGCCAGGCTGTGCACCATATTGTGTTGCACTCCTGACAGAGCTGTCTGGGAGCTTTGCACACTGCTCAGGGAACAGCGAAAACATCCCTCACTCCACACACATATGAGACAATGTGCAGACTTCTCACTCAAGTCCAGGGAAAGCCCAGAGGTCTCTCCAGAAGGGTCCTCAGCACTAACAAGGGGCACCCTAGCTGTGTTCTAGAGGAGACCAGCAAACCCCTGCCCAGCTACCAGTGGGACACTTCCTCCCCATGGCTGCATTTTCTCTCTGCCTCCCTGCAGGTACAAGGACGGGAAGCTAATTCCCAAGCAATCTCAATCTTCAATGCAGATCAAGGATGTGTCGGAGCAGCACGCCGGGACCTACACGCTGGTTCTGCGGAACAGGCTGGCGGGGCTGGAGAAGCACATCAGCCTCCAGTTAATAGTCAACGGTAAGGGAGGGGGCAGGGCTGGGGGGCAGCACTGAGCCCATGGGCCCATCCTTTGGGCTGCTGAGACCGAGTCCCCATTCCTGTCCTCAAGCAGCTGGTACCTACATCATCTCCTCCTCCCCAGTGCTGAGTGAAGCTCTGATTACAATGAGGCTGGTTCCTTGTGGCCTGGGTGATTTGGCACAGTTTTATTGCTAGTTCCGTCACTCTGGGCAGGATATGTCCTTGCTCAGGGGCTGTTTTCCAGCTGCAGTTGGAGATGTTGCTGAGGGTGACCCTAACTGATGTGGACTTAAGGGCAGGGCAACTGCAACATACAGGAAGCCTGAAGCTGGAGCTGTTCCTCTGGGAAGGAAGCTCTAGGAGGCTTTCCTTCAGTAAAATCTGGTCCCTGTCACACAGGAACCAGATGCCAGCACAAGAAGTGCTGGAAGGGCGCTGCTGCTTGGATATTCATCTCCAGCAGGCTCTGCAGCCCTGTGCTGGGGGCTGACAGACAGTGCCTTGAGCCCTGCAGCATCCAGGCAGTCACACTCGGCAGAAGAAGGAGAAATTATGTCGTTTGAATCTAAGCATAACCTGCTCTAGCTCCAGGCCTGAGCTCCCTAGGAGCTGCCCTGAGGGCCACAGTGCTTTAGTGCCCAGTGTCTCTATAGAAAGGCCTGGGGAGGGCTATGCCTGGCCTGGGGATGCAGCAGCTGAGCCCACGGCCACTCATGGTGTCACTCTGATCCTTGCAGTTCCTCCACGCATCCATGAGAAGGAAGCCTCCTCCCCAAGCATCTACTCCCAGAGGAGCCCCCAGGCCCTCACCTGCACAGTCTATGGCATCCCAGCACCAGAGGTGATCCAGTGGCAGTGGAGGCCGTGGACACCCTGTCGGATGTTCTCTCGACGCAGCCTGTAAGTGTCTTTTCTCCCAACATCCATGTCTTACCGAGCCACCAGTGTCATGTTATGGGCTCCTTCTGACCCTGGCTGTGTCCCAACCCCACCTCGCTTTTGGTCTCCCAGCTATGACATGGCAAGAGAAGGACAGCACAGACTGGTAGCTTGGAGCACCATACACCCACTCTTCCTGTGGGGAGGCAGATTGGAGCCCACCAGAGACACTTTTGCTCCATGTGGGAGTTCTGCCCAGCCTGGCTGGTCCCAGACACCAAGGGCTTCCACAGCTTACGCAGTGTCCTTGGCCATCTGCATCCAGCAGGGAATGTCCATGGCCTGGGCAGACCACACAGCACCTGCAATAAAACCATTGACCACTGTGCTAATGGAGAAACTGAGGGAGATTGTAGGAGAAATTGTCACAACCCCTTGGTGAGACCCTGGGACAGCAGCTGGGGCTCACCCCATTCCTGCCCTAAGGCCCCTGTGGTTTTTCAGTCCTTCCTTTTCTGCTGGGAAATGGTGGAAGGGAAAAGTGCTCATAGGCAGGGAGCAGAGCTGCTGCCTGCAGGGAAGAGTTGCTGAATCCAGGGGAAGCACTAGATCTCTGCCAGCTGCTGGGATGGTTTGCCAGGAGGGTGTTTGTGCTGGCAGCACTAATAGGTAGGCAGGAAGGGTGCCTGTGCCCTGGGAAGCTGGGGCAGCACCAGGCAGGGCTGCAGTGGCATTTTTTTAGCAGCAGCCTCTTGGGAAGAAGGAAAAGGGTTGCTGGGGAGTTGTAGCCAGAGCAGTCAGGGCAGAGGACATCAGGGAGCCTGGAGGAAGCCAGGTCCCACAGCCCTGTGCAGGCTGTGCCGAGCCAGGGACGCTGGAGAGCTCTCCCTCGCATGTGAGTGCACTGTGGCCCTGTCAGGAAGCAGAGGGGCCTGTAAATTATGAGCACTGTCTCCCAAGGCCACCATATTTCTGCCTAGCATAGCTGCAGAGGATGCAGGAGGCTTCTTTCTAGCTTCCTGTTGTTTACACAGCTCGCTGATGTGCTCGCCTTGCCGAGAACTCTGCCTTGCACTGCCAGCATGCACCTTTGCCACTGCTCCTGGGTGCTCAGCTCTGCCTGACCTGGATTTTGGGCATCTCTCTGCCCAACCTGCATTTCAGAAGCAACCTGCTGTCTGCAGCATCCTGGGTCCCTGACAGATTAGGGCTCTTCTACCCTCTTGCCTGCCCTAGCCCCAGAGTCAGCTACCATGCCCCTGTGAGACAGCAGCAGCATCTGGACTTGGGATGATCTTATGTGGGGGAAGAAGACAGGCTGCTCTCCTCAGTTCCCCTCTGATTTTTATTGAATTGGGGCAGCAGATGCACCCTTGGATGGTGCACACTCTGCTCTTCAGGTCAGCACCCAACCAGACTGTGACATCCCTGACTCACAGTCCCAGCAGAGATTTAAGGTCTAGTTGCAGAGCAAGGTGGCATAAAAAACTTCCCCAGGCATCCATAAATAGATTTCACTCCTGCCTTTCTCCACCCCTAGCATGGAAAGATGAAACCACAGGCCTGGGTGTGAAGACACTGCCTGGGACAGCAATGTCCATTCCCTGCCTCAGTTTCCACATCCACAGATAATGTTTGTCTCAGTAGTGATTGCAGGGCACCCTTACAAAGCACACTAGAACTGTGTGTGAGACACGGGAAATCTTGCAGCCAAAGGACAGGGGTGTCAATTCTCAGACAAAGCTACTTTTTGTTGCCTTCTTCCCGAATGATCCTCTCTCTCCATCACTCTCCTCTTTCTCCTGGCTGCCGGATTAGCAACAGCAGGCACCGGGCAGCAAGGCGGCATCAGCGGGACCGGATGCCTGAGTGCAAGGACTGGAAAGATGTGTCACAGCTGGATGCAGTGAACCCCATCGAGAGCATTGATACCTGGGTGGAGTTTGTGGAGGGGCGGAACAAGGTGAGGCTATAGCCCCAAGCCCAGCCTGGAGCTGGAGACAGGCACCCTTGGAGGTGTCTTTTGAGATCAGCCAGCAAAAGTGGCCTGGAAACGAGCTGGGCAGAGAGGGATTTGGGGAGGGCTTCACACCTCTGCTTCTAAAGTAAACCATCAGCAGCTGCTCCCAGCTCTGGGCTTTGCAGTACCAGGCAGCCCCAGGGCGAGGGAGAGCTGTCATCTTTGAGAAATTGCCCTGTGTCCAGGGAGGCTCCTGCTGGGACTGACTGTGCAGGAGGGTTTACAACAGCTGCTGTTGAACACAGGGCACCCAGCTAGGGAGGGCATGGGGGACGTGCTGATGCTGCTTCTGTCACCATTCCTGAGCACTCCTGCTTGTGCTGTTCTGGCAGACCCAAACCCCACAGAGCAGCCTGGGCAGCTGGGAAGGGAGAGCAGGAGTCACCAGTTGACCAGAAAACCTCTGGCCTCAGGAAGGTCTGTGTGTGTAGTGGACATTTCATCCAGCTGTCTCCAACCCTCTGGGGTGAGGGTGGTACAGAGATGCTGGTGTCCATCTGCTGCCTGTTTGTGAGCGAGAGCACGTGTGCCCCAGAGAGCCCGCTTCTCCATCACAGCATTTCCTCTCTGGAAGGGAATGTTTCTCCCTCGTTGCAAAGTGACCTGACACTGCTTTTGCTGCCTGTTTCTCCCTGTCTCTCTGGTGGGCAGGAGCGTGGGGTCTGCGCCGTGACGGGGTTCCTGTCCCGCTGGTGTCGGGCACCAGCCGCTCGCAGGGGGATGCAGAACAAACAAATGGGCCCCCATTTCCGAAAGTCACTTCCTGTTTTCCTACACACCTCCAAAGGCACTTCCCGTCCCCTGGCCCGGCCGGGAGTTCGTCACTCCGCCAAAAGAGTGGCAGGGGCAGATGCTGCTCCTCCCAGAGCAGCCGAAGGGAGAGGGCAGGGGTTGCTGTCCCCTGGGAAGGAGAGCAGGGGTGGTGGGAGTTCCTGTGGGAGAGCTCCCCCTCCAGATGTGACTCGCATCTTAGTCCCTTTTGATCTTTCCTTTTTTTTTTCCTTATTTTCTTCCTCCTATTCCTCAGCTGTGTCCTTCTTGTTCCATCTTTTTGGTGGTAACTGTCCTGGAGGTCCAACTTAGGTTGTGCAGTCCAGGGAAGTGCAAGAGCTCTGGGAGAAGAGAATTCTCTCACTTGGAATGAAATATTGTATCCTCAAATCTACTGTCTTTTCCTCTTCTCCTTTTTCCCTGTCTTCTCTTACCATTCTACTCTGGTTTTCATTCTGTCCAGAACAGCAAAGATGAGCCACGGGGTGTGCACAGCCGTGCACTGCAGACAGCAGGATGGTGTCCAATCCAGAAACCCCAACTGCAACCTAACTGAGCAAATTAGAAGGAAAATCCCCAAGAAACAGGAAAGGCAACACACAAAAGTGCCAGCAACAGGGTCACTTCAGCTGTATTGAGTACTCACTGAATGAATGACTGTTCCTCCTCATTAGCACAAGCTAATACATCACCACTTAGAACGGAAATGCTTCCCAAAGTCTGTGGGATGAATAGTCAAGGCAAAGGAGTTTCCTTGTAGAAACAGGATTTTTTTTTCCATTTTAAACATTGTCTCATTAGAGGGATTTTTGTATGTGATTAACTTGTCGTTTAGCCTGGGAGGGAGGAAAAACCTATGCTTCCAACTACAGATCTCCTCTAAGGGGAGTGCTTGTAACACATTTGGCAGCTCACATGTGTGCAGTGTGAGCACGGAGGAGGAGGAACCTTACTCCCCAGCTGCCTTTCCTGGCTTATTTGGAGGCTACATCTCCTGGGTCTGTGCTCCCAGGACACCAGCCTGGCTATTTGCCCAATCTTAGCCAGATCCTGCTGGAAGGAAGGAGGAGGGAGCTTGTAGGACCACGTCTATGTACACTTGGAATGTAAAGGGAGAAGCTGGCAGCTCTTCCTGAAGTGGAAGGAGCTGGGATGCTTTTACAGGTTTGGCTTCCTCGCAGGTCTGTAGATATCTGTAAACACTGAACTCCGGGGCACTAAGTAGTCACCTGCAGGGGGCTCAGGGAATCAAAGCCTTAGTGTCCTTTCCCTTTCTCGCCACTGTTGTAAAGCTTTGCAGGACCTTAGCCATCCCCCCAGCCCTGCATTGTGTTCATGTCCCCCTTGCTGAGCAGAGGCTTGTCCCCATCATGACCCGAGGGGCTTAGCAAGAAGTTGCTCCCATGGAGAGCCATTTATGCTGGCTGGACTCCGTAAAAAAGAGCTGAGATGAGGAGTAAAAACCATGATGCTGTTACTAGAGCCAGGAGGTGAGGCTTGAAATGCACAAAGAGCTACTGAATAAAGGGCTATTTTTGCATAACCCTTTTCCAGGTACAGCTGCCACCTGGGGCCAGGCTTGCTGTGTGCTTTGCTGTCTGCCAGAGAGCAACAATGATCCTACTTCTCTTCCATCTTCCTCTTCCTAACTCCTCCTTATGCTCTCTTCCCCCATCAGACAGTGAGCAAACTGGCCATCCAGGAGGCCAACATCTCAGCCATGTACAAGTGTATTGCCTCTAACAAAGTGGGTCGAGACGAGCGGCTGATCTACTTCTATGTGACAAGTAAGTACTGCAGATGTCCCCTTCACCTGCACCAGCCCAGCTCTCTGCTTGAAATCCTGCTGGGTCCTGACATGCACAGTTAGCACCTTAAAACAGTGATGGGGAAGCCAGCAGGAAAGCAGAGCTATCCCAGAGATCGGCCTGGAGCCCTGGCAGCAGATAGTGCAGGAAGACCTGCCTGTGCCTAGGTCCTGGAGCAGCCCTGGCAGGTGTTGGGCTGGGGACTTCCTGCTGGCTAAGCCCCAGGCAGCTCCCTGGACTGGGGATGTGCTTGGTCCAAGAGCATCCTCTAGTGGCACTGCCCAAGCTGCTTGCAGGCAGGGTCCTGCTGGCCCGAGACCCCTGGCAGGGTCCCTGCGGGATTTTGGTGGGGTAGCCCGTGCCGGTGGGAGTCTGTCCCTGTCTGCTGGAGAGAGGGAGCCCAGCAAGGGCACAGCAGAGGCTTGTATCTTTGTGCCTCTCAGGACAGACCCCAGAAGCCTGGGCTCATGGGCCTCACAGGTAGCACCGTTGCTCTGACAGAGCCACCAGGTTTTGTGGAGGCAGATTAATACCTTCCTTGGTTAGGCTCCAGTAATGCCCTACCTGTGCAGGTGTCCAGCCTGGTAGTGTAACTGCCCACGTGTGTAAAAGCAGCTACATGTGCAATCCAGAATGCTGCAGCAGGAGAGCAGTAACAGCCTAATTCAGACCTCGCTGCCTTGTTTCACTTGTCACCCTATCTTAATTTGACCCTGGTACTTAGCACATCCCTTAGTGCTCGCTGGGTTTAAGCTGTTGGTTGCCAGCAGTTTGCATGTCACAGTTCTGTCTAGATTGGTTTCCTTCACCCTGGCTGAGGACAGGGGGGCTCTCAGAGAGCTGAGCCCAAGGAGGCAATCTCATTGTGTCTGGCAGCTCAGCCACAAAAACTCATTCACATGTTCATTTCCTTCCTGAAAGCCATTCCAGACGGGTTTAAGATTGAATCCCAGCCCTCGGA